TCTTTTATATATAGGAGGGTGCCGCCGCATCTGAATGTTTGGCCGATGATGTTCTCTAAATATTGCCTTCCTGTGCACGTGGGGGGGGGGGGGGGCAGCATTCAAAGCGATGCGGATGGGCTGACGGGCCCACGGGGCTGGCAGGGCTGCGCTGTCCTATCCCCGTGCCACCAAACAACTCGCGTCGTCCTCGCACGGGCTGGGAGGTTCGCGAATCTCTACGTGATCCACCAGCCCTCGCCTCCAACACGCTGGATTACACGCAGGCGACATCATCATCGCCGTCATCGCCACCACCACCGTCGCTACCATCATCACGATCACCACCGTCAACATCGTTGCCAACATCATCATCGGCACAATCACTACCACCATTAAAACCATCATCATCCCCATCATCATCATTATTCCCATCGTCACCATCGCTATTGATTCCACTCTGTGGGTACATTTACATAAGCGACCTTGAACGCAAGAATAGAAGAGGGAGGGGGCTCATGGGGGGTGGGGGTGGAGTGGAGTGGAGGAGGGGGGCGGTGAGTAGGTGAGTGACTCAGAGCTCACAATAGCAACGAACACGAGCACCGCGTGCCGCTATGTCTCCCAGCCACGGGAACGTGGAATTTCCACCGCTCGTTTACAGCCGCTAACGGGGCCAGCACGTACGAACAGGTGAGCGCGCGGGCTCACGCTTGCGGCCACCCACCCCCTCGTGTGCCGTGCCGGCCTTCATAGGCGCTCACTAACACCACTTGCCCCAACAGCCTGCTAAGGCTATACGGGGGATCTTTATCTTTGCCTTTGATGGGGTTAGCTCAGAGAGGAACCTCATGCAGAATAGGGGGAGAACAAACGCCCGGCCGCCTTTGTCTCCCCAGGCAGCTCTGTCCTACGAAAGGACTGAACCCCGGCACTGCAATGTGGAATTTCATCGTCTCCCTTTGATGTCACCTGACAGGTGCACACGCAGACTTCCATACCAAGAGGCGCTACCATGTATGTCGATGCTCAACGCTCACAATCAGATAACGCGCAGCCAATCCACTGCTGGATGATGGCCTCCCCACGTTTTTGCGGGTTTGTGGGGGATGATTTGACCACAGTTCCCCACCCCCGGGGGTCAATGTTGGGTTTGGTGAACAGGGCACCCAGGAGCGGGTTCAGGAATCGCTGGCTACTGATGTTGGCACTCGGCGGTGGGAATCGAACTCATCTCGGCGGCTTTTTTTTTATTGCGCGGCGCGCTGAACAAACCGCTCTACCGCTCCCCACGAACCTGCAAGCGGAGATCCCACCGCTCGGATTCATTTTGCGAGTCGGCGGAGCGAGTTTGCCCGGTGGGCGATCGTGTCGTGGGTCGTTGTGTAATGAACGTGAGCGGTGGCGCGGTTGGTAACGCCGCAGGAGTCACGCTGAGGTTGGACTCGCGACTTGGCCCGCCCCGTGGAGCTGCGTCTGTTCTCCCCCGATTCTTCATGAGGTTCCTCTCTGAGCTAACCCCCATCAAAGGCAAAGATACAGATCCCCCGTATAGCCTTAGCAGGCTGTTGGGGCAAGTGCTGTTAGCGAGCGCCTATGAAGGCCGGCACGGCACATGAGGTGGTGGGTAGCCAGCAGCACGCCCAGCCGCCTTTGTCTCCCCAGGGGCGATGTTAACACACCGCACCAGGTACTCATTTGAGGCTGAGTCAACCTAGGGGAGGCTCAGAACACGGTTCAAATAATTGTCCCCGGTGTTGGCCGTGAGTGGAAATCGAACGCGGGTCGCCGGGTTCGTAGCGCAGCGCGCTAACCACTTCACCACCACTCACCTAATCCCACCCCCACACACACACCCACACACAGCCACACACACCCCCACACACACCCACACACACACAAACACACACACACCCACACACACCCACACCCCACACACACACACAAAAACACACACACCCACACACACCCCCACGCACACCCACACACACACCCCCACACAATGTAACCCGTGTTGGCCAAACATCCCAATGCTGCAACATTACCTGCAGGTACTCAACTGGGGTCACCACAACAGCAGCAACAGAAGCAGCAGCAGCATCGCCCCCCCCCCCCCTGGATTCGTCCCGCGCCACTCCACTCCACGGCTTTAACAAGAGCCACCGGCCAAATCTCGCCACGTAAGAAGGGTCCCCCCCCCTAAAACAACAACAACTTTTCTGGATAAATAACATGAAGACGATGATGACGCGAACGATTGTAAGCCTAAGAACAGAGTCAATGTCCCTCGGTCATGGATGATTACACCGATCGATGATTGTATTGATAACGGCGACTGTAGAGATTGCATTGACATTGTTGATCCGACGAATCGCCATGAATACGTCACCAGTATAATGCATATCTCTTTTTTCACGAATTATCACCAGAATAATTATTCATCCTGAACGAGTAATCACCAATTCTCCTTCTCACCACTCATTCACCACCACCACCACTCACCACCACCACCACTCACCACCACCACCATCCTCTCCACCACCACCACTCATTCACCACCACCACCACTCACCACCATTCACCACCACTCACCACCACCACCACTCACCACCACCACCATCCTCTCCACCACCACCACCATCCTCTCCACCCACCTTGCGCAGAAGGCGAGAGGGCCGTGAGTCCCCAGCCTTGGCTCGCACGACTCGGTGAGCCACTCCGGGCTCCCCCCTCTCTCCCTCCGCATTCCAGCCCCCCCCCCCCCACCGCTTCTCTCATCCCTCCCTCCCACCTCCTCCCTCCCTCCCCTCCACTTCACCATTCGCATCTCCTCCATTCCCCACCTGCTCCCTCCCTCCCCATCCCCCCCCCCCCACTTCCCTCCTCCCCACCACCACCTCGTCCCCCCACCTCCTCTCTCCCTCCACTCCCGCCCTGCTCAGGTCGACGAGAACCCGTGACGAGTCTAACCCCCGCACGGGGCGGGACGTGATGGATGCAATGGCAGCAGCAGCAGCAACGTGAAGAGTCTAACCCCCGCACGGCACGGGGCGTGATGGATGCAATGGGAGCAGCAGCAGCGGCAGCGTGCGGAGTGCTGCACGAGGCGAGAAGCCGGCCACGCCGAGCAGCACGAGGCGCGGCGCGAGGTGAGACGTCGAGCGGAATGATCGAGCGAGGGTCGAGGCGTGGTCGACCCTCTTCGCAGAGGGCTCGCGGTTCCACTCCAGCCTCCGCCCTGGTCAATACTCCGGGTGCATCGATCGTAAACAAGTAAACCCGTAAAAACAAAGTTTTTCACTATAAATCCTTTATATGCGTGGCGGCTAGAGTCCTCTCGTCCTCTGGCTTGAGATGGCTGCCACATATGGGTCAGATGATTGTCTGCCAGCATTAAGCAATTGGTAATTAAATATTTTACAAAAATTCCCTAAACAGTGTAAAATTTTGGAAAAAAAATTTCACGAAAATTTATTGTCACGCACAACGAGTCTGTGTGCAAAATGTCAGCTCGATTGGATCACGGGAAGTGGGTTAAAAAACGACCGAAAGATTTGCACGGTCGTAAGCAAGCAAGCACGCAAGCAAGCACGCACGCAAGCAAGCAAGCGAACTTAATATAAAGGATTTAAAAAAGAAAATCCGCGCCGTCTTGCTTCGCAAGTGGACGTCACGGATGCGGCGACGTTATTCGAGGAGAGAGGTCGGACATAGTGGCGGCGTCATGGTCCAAATTAAACAATAATTGTGGACACGCAAACGACTCCTGCTGTGTAGACCTGGCAGGAGCCTCCTGGAAAAGAGTCTTGAGACTCGGTGAGCCATTGCTGGGTCAACGAGCGGTTTGCTGACAAGACGCTCACACACACGCACGCGCACAGATGGAAAGAACCCAGACGCAAGCTGACATGCCCCATCCTTCACCTTTATATCAAGAGTTAAATATCCACAACACTCGCTGTGCACGGCAGGTGGCCGGGGAGGAGGTTTGGCCAATTCCCTTTGCATAGAAGACGACCAAACGGCCTTGAGAGAAGAGAATCCCTGCCGCGCGGAGGTTCCGATCGGCGGCGAGGGTTTGGCGTGGCTAAAAGATCCATCCTCAGGTTTTTTGTAAAACATCGCCACATCCCGAACCCCCCTCTCCTGTTGAATCGCTCGAACGTCCCTGCGATCCCCCCGCGCGTGAGACTACGAGTCGCCACCGACCGTCACCCTGCGCCCGGAGACACGTGGAGACACGTGGTGACACGCGGTGACACGTAGAGACACGCGGTGACACGTGGAGACACGCGGTGACACGTGGAGACACGTGGAGACACGTGGTGACACGTGGAGACACGTGGTGACACGAGAGACACGTGGTGACACGTGAGACACGTGGTGACACGTGGAGACACGTGAGACACGTGGTGACACGTGGAGACACGTGGTGACACGTGGAGACACGTGAGACACGTGGTGACACGTGGAGACACGTGGTGACACGTGGAGACACGTGGTGACACGTGGAGACACGAGAGACACGTGGTGACACGTGGAGACAAGTGGTGACACGTAGTGACACGAGAGACACGTGAGACACGTGAGACACGTGGAGACACGTGAGACACGTGAGACACGTGGTGACACGTGGAGACACGTGGTGACACGCGGTGACACGTGAGACACGTGGTGACACGTGGAGACACGTGGAGACACGCGGTGACACGTGAGACACGCGGTGACACGTGGAGACACGTGGAGACACGCGGTGACACGTGAGACACGTGGAGACACGTGGAGACACGTGGTGACACGTGGTGACACGCGGTGACACGTGAGACACGCGGTGACACGTGGAAACACGTGGAGACACGCGGTGACACGTGAGACACGTGGAGACACGTGGAGACACGTGAGACACGTGGTAACACGTGGAGACACGTGAGACACGTGGTAACACGTGAGACACGTGGTGACACGTGGAGACACGTGGAGACACGGGAGGGTGGCGTTTGTGCACAGACTGCCCTATATGACATCATAACAACAGTCTGGACCACTGGACGGGTTCCGCAGGATTGGAAGGATGCCCTGGTGGTCCCCCTCTTTAAGAAGGGGGACCGCACAGACTGTAACAACTACAGGGGCATCTCACTCCTCAGTGTGCCGGGAAAGGTCCTGGCAAGGATTATTCAACATCGCCTTGCTAGGCACGCTGAGGAGAGGCTTGCGGAGCCCCAATGCGGTTTCAGGAAAGGGCGGTCCTGCACAGATGCCATATTTTCTGTCCGTCTGCTACAGCAGAGGTGTAGGGAATTCCAACAAGACCTACATCTCTGCTTTATTGACCTGGTCAAGGCCTATGATACCATCAGTAGGCCTGGGCTCTGGGTTGTTCTTCGTGCTTTCGGAGTCCGTGACCCTCTGCTCACGATCATTAAGGACCTTCATGATGGTGAGCGGGCCCGGGTAAAACTACGTGGCCGGGAGTCAGAGCCTTTCCCTGTACACCTTGGGGTGCGACAGGGATGTCCTCTGGCTCCCACATTATTTAACATCTATTTTGACCGAGTAGTTCGTGAAGCCTTCAATAGCTGTACCGGGGGAATTTCCATTTGGTACAGATATAACGGGAGGTTGATCGACGCCCGGGTGCGATCAAGGGATGGCTCCCTATTGGTCAACTACGTTATGTATGCCAATGCTTTGGTAATAGCTGCTCATTCAGAAGAGGAGTTGGAGACGCTGCTGCTGAGACTGGAGCGTGCCACTAAGAGGTGGGGCCTTACCATCAGCCCCACCAAAACTAAGCACCTGCCTGGGTATTTGGTACCATCGGACACTCCACCCCCACAACCCCCAATCGGTGATGGGGCAGTAGTGGAGAGAGTGGAGAGTTTCCCATACCTGGGCAGTGTGCTTATGACCGGCTCCAGTTTAACAGCAGAGGTCTCACTCTGAATCAGTCGAGCGGCAATATATTTTCATCGGTTGCGTAACGCTGTGTGGAAGCTACCTGGTCTGTCGCTCCGCACGAAGCTTCAGGTCTTCTCAGCCACAGTCATTCCCTACCTTCTCTACGCTTGCGAAACGTGGACCCCCCTAATGGAAACATTTAGGCTGGCCTGCCTACGATCCATCCTGGGTTTAACCAGGCTGGATTGTGTGAGGAGCTCACAAATCTCCATCGGTGAGCTCCTCCGGCAGGCAAGGCTGCGTTGGCTGGGTCATGTAGCCCGCATGCCCAGACACCGCATGCCTAAACAGCTTTTGTTCGGCCGGATCGAGAGGGCTAAACGGGCGCGGCACGGGCTAGAGAAGAGATGGAGTGATGTGGTACAAGAGGATGTGGAGCTGAGTGGACTTGCCGATGACTGATACCAGCGGTGTCAAGATCGGCCTCTGTGGAGGAGGCTCGTGAAGGACGCTACTGGGCAGTTGGAGGCAGTCGCCCTCCAACAACAGAGGGCGGAGGAGTGACGCTCACAACAACGAGCAGAGCGCCGGGTGGCTAAAGCACAGCAAGTTGGTACAGTAGGGGGCACAGGCGGTGCATCAGTCAGTCATCTCGGTCATCTCAGTTAGTCGACCCGTGGCACCTGGGTCTGCCCCGTGACCTCCTGCCAGCGGGCGTTCGACACTTCACGTGGCCTCAAGGTGCACATGGCCTGGTACAAGCGTCGTGGTGACGTCACCGCCACTTAGTGGCGAATGGCGGTTGTTGTTGTGTCACAGTGTGGGTGTCACAGTGTGGGTGTCACGTGTCGGTGTGGGTGTCACGTGTCGGTGTGGGTGTCACGTGTTGGTGTGTATGTCACAGTGTCACGTGTCACAGTGTGGGTGTCACAGTGTGGGTGTCACGTGTCACAATGTGGGTGTCACATCTCGGTGTGCTCTCTCGACAGCGGGGTGACGTCTCGCAGCGCCGCCCTCTGGGCGCCACAGTCGCGCTTGCACAGCCACGCCGCGAGCCCCTGGCCCGGCGGCGCTGCGGAGCGGAACGCGGCGTAGATCTCCTCCTCGCCCAGCTCGCCCAGCATCGCGTGGCACATCTGCAGCAGCCTGCGCATGGAGAGACACCACGTGGCGCAGTGACTACGTGGCTGGGTGACCCAGTGGCTGGGTGACCACGTGGCTGAGTGACCACGTGGCTGAGTGACCCCTGGCTGAGTGACCACGTGGCTGAGTGACCCCGTGGCTGAGTGACCACGTGGCTGAGTGACCCCTGGCTGAGTGACCACGTGGCTGAGTGACCACGTGGCTGAGTGACCCCGTGGCTGAGTGACCACGTGGCTGAGTGACTCCTGGCTGAGTAACCACGTGGCTGAGTGACCACGTGGCTGAGTGACCCCGTGGCTGAGTGACCACGTGGCTGAGTGACCCCGTGGCTGAGTGACCACGTGGCTGAGTGACCCCTGGCTGAGTAACCACGTGGCTGAGTGACCACGTGGCTGAGTGACCACGTGGCTGAGTGACCCCTGGCTGAGTGACCACGTGGCTGAGTGACCCCGTGGCTGAGTGACCCCGTGGCTGAGTGACCCCTGGCTGAGTAACCACGTGGCTGAGTAACCACGTGGCTGAGTGACCACGTGGCTGAGTGACCACGTGGCTGAGTGACCACGTGGCTGAGTGACCCCGTGGCTGAGTGACCACGTGGCTGAGTGACTCCTGGCTGAGTGACCACGTGGCTGAGTGACCACGTGGCTGAGTGACCCCGTGGCTGAGTGACCACGTGGCTGAGTGACTCCTGGCTGAGTAACCACGTGGCTGAGTGACCACGTGGCTGAGTGACCCCGTGGCTGAGTGACCACGTGGCTGAGTGACTCCTGGCTGAGTAACCACGTGGCTGAGTGACCACGTGGCTGAGTGACCACGTGGCTGAGTGACCACGTGGCTGAGTGACCCCGTGGCTGAGTGACCACGTGGCTGAGTGACCACGTGGCTGAGTGACCACGCGGCAATGTGACGAGTGACGGCGGAAGTGGCGATGCGACGACAAGGGAGTTTCAATTGAAGTTTAAAAATTCAGTCGAGTGATTCTGATGAACGATCGATTCGTGAACTCTAAGGGGAAACACAAAGACTCGCACGGTCCGTGAGCACACGAGCTCGTGAGTACCGAGGCAATGTGCAATGAATATCACGTGACGATAGACTTACCTGTTGTTGGACGTGCCAAAGAAATAAATAAAGGCATCAAATGCACTGAGACGCAGCGTTCTATAGAGATACGTAAAGTCGAAAGCGAATTTGCGTAAAAATTGTATCATAGCAGCTCGACTTTCTTCAGGCACACATGAATAATAATGAGGGCGGGGCATGTGGAGTGACGTCACGCGCGGGCCACACACAGCGTTGATGTCTTTATTAGCTTTACTTTCCATAAAGAAAGGTCAAAATTAAAGCTAATTTGTGTAAACAAATTTTCGTTTCCGCTCCACCTTCTTCATGCGGAGTGACGACACCTGTTCATGAGTATTAATGATGGGGGGGGGGGGGGGGTCCATGTGGAGGACCCCACCTGTTCATGATTATTAATGAGGGTGGCTGGTCGACGTGAAGTGACGTCACGCGCATTACACACCGACATTCTTGGCTCATTATATTCGTAACTCGCCTGTTGCCCGTCCAAGTAAATCTGAAACATTCAAGCGAAAAGCAGACGACGTGATATATTCATTGCATCAATTCGTGTGCACTTAGTAAGGGCGCGGTGACACAGAGCTATTTCCTTTAGAGGTGATAATCCCTTGTTCATCATCATGACGTCCTTTTTACTTCGATGTCTCAACCGCGTTACGGAGATCACGTGATGACGTGAGGGTTCTGCCTTTGTAGTGAGGGTTGTAAGTTGACGCTGAGGAGGTTCGGAGGAGGCGCCTCGCCCCCCCATGTGGAGTGACGTCACCCGCTAACTATTATTGAGGGGGGCTGGCCGACGTGGAGTGACGTCACGCGCGGGACACACAGACATTCTCGGCTCATCATCGTAGTGAACAGCAAGGCGTACCGCGTGGTCATCAAGCTGCAGTTGTGACGCTTCTGCGCTCCTCGTTGAAGGCTCAACGAGGACAGGCAGGAGGAGGAGGATGGACCGATGGCCGTGCGGCTCTCCACTCACCGGAACGGCCACTTGCCACCGCCCATCATCATCCCCATGGCGTCCTGCGCCTCCAGCCCGGGGCCCGACAAGCGCTTTTGCCCGCTCAGTTCCTTCACCCCGTAGCTGCACGCACACAAAGACAAAGATGATCATTGGTTTTTTACCCTTTTATCTGGCAATAAAACTGACACCTTTTTTTACGAGGAGTCATGTTTGCATAGACCACAATACCTGCAGTCATAATGCAAACAAAAAACATAACTCTGATAATGTATGCACTGTCCTTGAAGTTGATTGGTCCACACCCGAGACAGCTTTCCTTAGAGCCTAGTCTCACATGGTGTTGGACCAGATGACGCCAAAAGGCGCACAACTCAAAGACAATGCACCATCAGAGTATGAGAGCTCGGGGTAAGCATTTACACCATTGGAACCTCATTTGCCAGTAAAAAATACAATAGTTTTTTTACCATTTTATCTGGCAACAAAACTGACACCTTTTTTTACGAGGAGTCATGTTTGCATAGACCACAATACCTGCAGTCATAATTCAAACAAAAAACATAACTCTGATAATGTATGCACTGTCCTTGAAGTTGATTGGTCCACACCCGAGACAGCTTTCCTTAGAGCCTAGTCTCACATGGTGTTGAACCCACCCCCACCCGGGTAGCCTGTCACAGACTGTTGGGGCAAGTGCTATCAGCGAACAACGATGGAGGCCCGGAACGGCGCGTGAGGGGGTGGGTGGCCATCACCAGCAGCGGCATGCCGAGCCGCCTTTGTCACACGATAACTATTTGTACATACACATGCATAAACTGATATATACACGTAAACACGTACAGCACCGTGTACATACACGTGAGTGGTGATACATGCAAGCGAACGTGCTGGCAAAGGCGCGCGAGGGGGTGGGTGGCCAGCACCACGCCCGGCCGCCTTCGTCTCCCCAGTGGCGATGTTTACAGACCGCACCAGGTACTCATTTGAGGCTGAGTCGACCTAGGGGAGGCCCAGGACCCGTTCAGATAATCATCACTGGGTGTTGGCCGTGAAGCGGGAATCGAACTCGGGTCGCCGGGTTCGAAGCGCAGCGTAGCGCTAACAGCGACATTACGACGACGACGTGCACACACAGAATCAGAATCTTCACTTAGACGGCAGGAATCCGATGAGCGATGAAGCTCTTTTTCACAGATGCCCAGTCGAGGCCGGAAAGAACGTGACACCAACACACGTGACCAAAAGCACACGGCAGGAGTGCGAAGCACAAGAAAGGTAAACACCAAAAACAAATACAACACGACACCATGCCGGTCCTGCCACGCAAAGTCCACGCAGGTATTTACACACAAAACACGCGCACACGCGATATTAGCGTACAATGTCTCGCCAGCTGCAGCCCAACACTTGTTAACTTCACGATGTCTACAGACAAGGAGGCTCCCTCCCCTCCCTCCCCTCCCTCCCTCCCTCCCTCCCCTCCCCTCTGCTCCCCTCCCTCCCCTCCCCTCCCTCCCCGTGCTGGACCATGGGTCCCCGGGTTTGTGACGCGACGCGACGCGTGGCACGGCGCCCGCCGCCGTGAGTGCGACCCGGCGTCCGCGTGACGCCGCCGCCTGAGGGTCACGAGACCGAGCGCGTGACACGCGCGTGACACGCGGTGCCTGCAGGGATCACGGCAGCGCCTCGACAGCGCCTGTAACGCGAGCAACGTTTCACCGCCCCCCCCCCCATTCATTGTTGGCTAACGCGGCGTGCAAGCAGCGGCGACAGCTGCTGCCCGTGGGCGTGCTGCTGCTGGGGGGGGGCCATGGCAAACATCTGTAACGCGACACGGCCACGTCGCGCAAACACCGCCACAGCCACCGCGTGTCGCTCTTGAATATCTCCCCGACGTCGTCTTTGGTTCTTTCGGTAAAGTCACGTAGATGGAAAATAAAATAAAAAATATTTTAAAAAAATACGTCTTTTTTATTTTTATACAATTTTTATATCCACGTGACTTTACCGAAAGAACCCAAGAAGATGAATTCCTGCAGTCACGAAAGTTGAAAGTCAAAATCTCCCCTATGCGTCACGAGGGCGCCCAACACCGTGGCCTGACCTGGCCCACCAAAGACAAAGGTCCCCCGTGTAGCCTGTGAGGCTGTAGGGGCAAGTGCTGTTAGCGAGCACCTATGAAGGCCGGAACAGCACACGAGGGGGTGGGTGGGTAGCACCACGCACGGCCGCCTTTGTCTCCCTAGTGGCGATGTTTGCGCACTGGGTACTCATATGAGGCTGAGTCGACCTAGGGGAGGCCCAGAACCGGTTCAGATAATCGTCACTGACGTTGGCCGTGAGCGGGTGGCCCAGGTTCATAGCGCAGCGTAGCGCTAACCGCTACACCACCGCTCCCCACCACCACCACCACCAACCACCGCCAGCAACGCAGGGTTTGTGCCACGTGTCGTGTTTTATATTGCGGAGCCACGGATGTGGGAAGGAGGCGAATATGTCTGCTTCGTCATTGTGTCACTTATATTGTCCGCAACGAGGTTAATGGTTAATGGTTGTGTTGTGTTGCTCAGCATTACATTCATGGCGTTTCTACCTCGAGCGTCCGGCAGTTCACCGGGCGTTGGTTCAAGCGAGCCTGACTTTCAGTGCGAGTTGCTGGAAAGCGCGGACATGGTGGAGATGATTTACGTCATGGAGATGATGGAGATGTATATTCTTGGTGCTTTCGGTAAAGTCACGTAGAAGGGAAATAATAAAAAAAAAAATAATAATAAAATAAATTTCTCACGACGTTTCGACTGCAACACAAGCAATAATCATCAGGTGTGAAATCCACACCTGATGATGATTGCTTGTGCTGCAGTCGAAACGTAGTGCGAATTTTATTGTTTTATATATTTTTTGTTTATTTCCCTTCTACGTGACTTTACTGAAAGAACCAAGAATATGAATCCCTGCAGTCACGAAAGTTTTAAATCAAAATGATGGAGATGGTGAAGGTGGCCTGAGATGGTGGAGGTGGCGGAGATGGTGGAGGTGATGGAGGTGGTGGAGGAGGTGACGGAGATGGTGGAGGTGACGGAGATTGTGGAGATGGTGAAGGTGATGGAGGTGGTGGAGGTGACGGAGATGGTGGAGGTGATGGAGATGGTGGAGATGACGGAGGTGCTGGAGGTGGTGGAGGTGGTGGAGGTGACGGAGGTGGTGAAGGTGATGGAGGTGGTGGAGATGGTGGAGGTGGTGGAGGTGACGGAGGTGGTGGAGGTGACGGAGGTGGTGGAGGTGACGGAGGTGGTGGAGGTGACGGAGATGGTAGATTTGATGGAGGTGGTGGAGGTGGTGGAGGTGGTGGAGGTGACGGAGGTGGTGGAGATGACGGAGGTGGTGAAGGTGGTGGAGGTGATGGAGGTGGTAGAGGTGGCGGAGATTGTGGAGGTGGTGGAGGTGGTGGAGGTGGTGGAGGTGACGGAGGTGACGGAGGTGGTGGAGGTGGTGGAGGTGATGGAGGTGGTGGAGGTGACGGAGGTGGTGCAGGTGGTGGAGGTGATGGAGATGGTGGAGGTGGTGGAGGTGACGAAGGTGGTGGAGGTGGCGGAGGTTGTGGAGGTGGTGGAGGTGGTGGAGATGGTGGAGGTGGGGGAGGTGACGGAGGTGGTGGAGGTGGTGGAGGTGGTGGAGGTGGTAGAGGTGGTGGAGGTGACGGAGGTGGTGGAGGTGATGGAGATGGTGGAAGTGGTGGAGGTGGTGGAGATGGAAGAGGTGGTGGAGGTGGCGGAGGTTGTGGAGGTGGTGGAGGTGATGGAGGTGGTGGAGGTGGTGGAGATGGTGGAGGTGGTGGAGGTGACAGAGGTGGTGGAGGTGGTGGAGGTGGTGGAGGTGATGGAGATGGTGGAGGTGACGGAGATGGTGGAGGTGGCGGAGGTGGTGGAGGTGGTGGAGGTGACGGAGGTGACGGAGGTGGTGGAGGTGGCGGAGGTTGTGGAGGTGGTGGAGGTGATGGAGGTGGTGGAGATGGTGGAGGTGGTGGAGGTGACGAAGGTGGTGGAGGTGGTGGAGGTGGTGGAGATGGTGTAGGTGGTAGAGGTGGTGGAGGTGATGGAGATGGTGGAGGTGGTGGAGATGGTAGAGGTGGTGGAGGTGACGGAGGTGGTGGAGGTGGTGGAGGTGACGAAGGTGGTGGAGGTGGTGGAGGTGATGGAGGTGATGGAGGTGGTGGAGGTGGTGGAGATGGTGTAGGTGGTGGAGGTGGTGGAGATGTTGTCGGTGATGGAGATAGTGGAGGTGGTGGTGGAGGTGGTGGAGGTGACGGTGGAGGTGACGGTGGAGGTGCGTCTCACTCGTTCCAGGACTGCGAGCAGCATTGCTCCAGGGTGTCGAGCAGCTCGGACTCGGGCAGCTCGGAGCGGCCACTGAGCCCCTTGCGCGGCGCCGGCCTCTTGTGCAGGGCCTTGCTCAGGTGCTCCTGCATCTGGGGGCGGCGGGGGGGGGGGCAAGGTAGAATGAGTCCGACTCTCCCACGTGGGTAGGCGAGGACACGTGGTCGGTGACACGAGGGTAGGTGGTCCACGAGGTAGGGTAACCTGGGTGCTTGAATCTGTTTGGGTCGTTAACATCGTTTTTTTCATGACAAGGTAACCGAATAATAACAACGGTTATCAGTTTTGAACAGTGTATGAAGGAAACGTCTAGATCAGGAAGCGTGACGCTGCTTAGCCACGGTGCCGTAAACGGTCAGCGCACTGGGCCTGCAAGCCAGAGGTCGCTGGTGGTGGCTGTGGTGTGGTGGGCTGTGGTGTGGTGTGGTGGGCTGTGGTGTGGTGTGGTGGAGTGTGGAGTGGTGGGGTGTGGTGTGGTGGGGTGTGGTGGGGTGTGGTGTGGTGGAGTGTGGTGGGGTGTGGTGTGGTGGGGCGTGGTGGGGTGTGGTGTGGTGGGGTGTGGTGTGGTGGCGTGTGGTGGGGCGTGGTGTGGTGGGGTGTGGTGTGGTGTGGTGAGGCGGGGTGTGGTGTGGTGTGACTTGGGCCCCGGCGCGGCTTGCACGTTCGCGTGAGCCAATCGGTGCGTTCTCGTCATCACCACCGGAATCGGTTACCGGCTCCAAACTTTCTTGACCAATTTCACAGCCCTCGCGGGCACTTGGTGTGTGGGACCTATGCAGGTCCCCTATCCAGAGGGGTTCCCCTATACAATGGTCCCCTATACAATGGTCCTATATCCAGAGGGGTCCCCCATACAATGGTCCCCTATCCAGAGGGGTTTCCTATACAATGGTCCTCTATCCAGAGGGGTTCCCCTATACAATGGTCCCCTATCCAGAGGGGTTCCCCTATACAATGGTCCCCTATCCAGAGGGGTTCCCCCATACAATGGTCCCCTATCCAGAGGGGTTCCCCTATACAATGGTCCCCTATCCAGAGGGGTTCCCCTATACAATGGTCCCCTATCCAGAGGGGTTCCCCTATACAATGGTCCCCTATCCAGAGGGGTTCCCCTATACAATGGTCCCCTATCCAGAGGGGTTCCCCTATACAATGGTCCCCTATCCAGAGGGGTTCCCCTATACAATGGTCCCCTATCCAGAGGGGTCCCCTTTACCAGGGTCCTCTATGCAGAGGGGTTCCCCTATACCAGGGGTCGGCAACCTACGGCTCCGGAGCCGCATGCGGCTCTTTACGGGCTGCTTCTTGACGATGAGTACAGTATGTACTCAGATGCATTGCGGCTCTTGAAATACTGAATTTTGTACCGAATTGGAAAGAAATGGCTCTTCTTGTTATTTTGGTTGCCGACCCCTGCCCTATACAATGGTCCTCTATCCAGAGGGGTCCCCTATACAATGGTCCTCTATCCAGAGGGGTTCCCCTATACAATGGTCCCCTATCCAGAGGGGTTCCCCTATACAATGGTCCCCTATCCAGAGGGGTCCCCTATACAATGGTCCTCTATCCAGAGGGGTTCCCCTATACAATGGTCCTCTATCCAGAGGGGTTCCCCTATACAATGGTCCCCTATCCAGAGGGGTTCCCCTATACAAAGGTTCTCTATCCAGAGGGGTCCCCTATACAATGGTCCCCTATCCAGAGGGGTCCCCTATACAATGGTCCTCTATCCAGGGGATTCCCCTATACAATGGTCCTCTATCCAGGCGATTCCCCTATACAATGGTCCTCTATCCAGGGGATTCCCCTATACAATGGTCCTCTATCCAGGGGATTCCCCTATACAATGGTCCTCTATGCAGAGGGATCCCCTATACCGGGGTCCTCTATCCAGGGGGGTACCTGGTAGGCGATGGCTCGGCACGCGTCGCAGCGGAGGTGCTGCGGCATGTGCTGGGAATGTCCTTCCTCGTCGCTCAGCTCGGGCGTCTGGAAACTCATCGTTCCCCCGGCGGTGCCAAGTCCATCGGCCGCGTCCTTGCTCGCGGCGGCTGCACAGGGTGACAGCAGCGCGCAGACCGCGAGGCACCACCAGCACCACGTGGTCATCATCTTCATCATCATCTTCATCATCATCGTCGTCGTCGTGACTGTGACGACGATTCTACTGCTGCTGTCGCTTTGTGCCGATGATGCTGATGATGATGATGACACTGCCGATGATGGTGATGCTGCTGCTGCTGATGATACTGATGATAGTACTGCTGCTGCTGAGGATACTGCTGATGATACTGCTGCTGCTGCTGTTGATGATACTGCTGATGATACTGCTGCTGGTACTGTTGATGATACTGCTGATGATACTGCTGCTGGTACTGCTGCTGTTGATGCTACTGATGCTGCTGCAGATGATGATGATGCTGATGATGCTACTGCTGATGATGATGCTGCTGTTGATGATACTGCTGCTGCTGCGGATGCTGCTGCTACTGCTGATGATGATGAGTGGCGGCCGCACGGGCGGACGCGCGCACCCCCTGACCACGGACTTTCCCCTTCACGGCGAATCGATCCGCGCGACTCGCACGAAGCCGTCGAGCGAACCGAAGAATCGATTCCTCGCGTGCGCGCACGAGGCGGGCGGAGTGTCCGCCCGGCAGCGGCGGTGGTGGTGGAGGTGGTGGAGGTGGTGGTGGGGATGATGGTGATGGTGGTGATGATGGTGATGATGGTGGTGGTGGGGATGATGGTGGTGGTGGTGGGGATGGTGGTGGTGATGATGGTGGTGGTGGGATGGTGGTGATGGTGATGGTGGGGATGGTGGTGGTGGTGGTGATGGTGGGGGTGGTGGTGGTGGTGGGGGTGGTGGGGATGGTGGTGGTGGTGGGGATGGTGGTGGTGATGGTGGTGGTGGTGGGGATGGTGGTGGTGGTGATGGTGGTGGTGGTGGGGATGGTGGTGGTGGTGGTGATGGTGGTGGTGGTGGGGATGGTGGTGGTGGGGATGATGGTGATGGTGGTGATGATGGTGGTGATGGTGGTGGTGGGGATGATGGTGGTGGTGGTGGGGATGGTGGTGGTGATGATGGTGGTGGTGGGGATGGTGGTGATGGTGATGGTGGGGATGGTGGTGGTGGTGGTGGTGATGGTGGGGGTGGTGGTGGTGGTGGGGGTGGTGGGGATGGTGGTGGTGGTGGGGATGGTGGTGGTGATGGTGGTGGTGGTGGGGATGGTGGTGGTGGTGATGGTGGTGGTGGTGGGGATGGTGGTGGTGGTGGTGATGGTGGTGGTGGTGGGGATGGTGGTGGTGGGGATGATGGTGATGGTGGTGATGATGGTGGTGATGGTGGTGGTGGGGATGATGGTGGTGGTGGTGGGGATGGTGGTGGTGATGATGGTGGTGGTGGGGATGGTGGTGATGGTGATGGTGGGGATGGTGGTGGTGGTGGTGGTGATGGTGGGGGTGGTGGTGGTGGTGGGGGTGGTGGGGATGGTGGTGGTGGTGGGGATGGTGGTGGTGATGGTGGTGGTGGTGGGGATGGTGGTGGTGGTGATGGTGGTGGTGGTGGGGATGGTGGTGGTGGTGGTGATGGTGGTGGTGGTGATGGTGGTGGTGGTGGTGATGGTGGTGGTGGTGGGGATGGTGGTGGTGGTGGGGATGGTGGTGGTGATGGTGGTGGTGGTGGGGATGGTGGTGGTGGTGATGGTGGTGGTGGTGGGGATGGTGGTGGAGGAGGAGGCTCGTGGAGGACGCCGTTTGCTGCTGCTGCTTCGCTGCTGGGTTGCTGGAGGCAGTCGCCCTCCAGCAACAACGGAGGGCAGCGGCAAGGTGGAAACAGTCGGGGGGGGGGGGGGGGGGGGGGGGGGTACGGCTGGTTGCATCTACGGGTCAACTCAGTCGGTCAACCCGTGGCACCACCTGCTGGGTCTGTCCCGAAACCTCCTGCACCTAGCCTGGCACAGTAGGGGGTACAGCTGGTGGTGCATCTACCGGTCATCTCAGTCGGTCAAACCCGTGGCACCTGCAGGGTCTGTCCCGAGACCTGCACCTAGTCTGGCACAGTAGGGGTACAGGTGGTGGTTGCATTTACGAGTCATCTCAGTCGGTCAACCCATGGCACCTGCAGGGTCTGCCCTGAGATCTCCTGTCAGCGAGCCTTCGACACTCCACGTGGTAGCCTCAAAGTGCACCTGGCCTGGTACAGGCGCCGTGGTGACGTCACCGTCACTGAGTGACGCTGGGTGTTGGCGATTGGGTGGCGATGGGGCTCTCGGCGTGTCCGCCTGGCCACGGCACGCGCACTCCGCTCTCTCCTCTCTCTTCGCCCTCTGTAGCAGCGTGGACGGCACCCTCGTGTTCACCTTCTGAAGCGCTCGCTCGTCACCGTGGCGTGCGCGATGACCACCACCACCACGTGGCTTTTCTCTCGTGTTGTGCGCGGTGCTTTTAGCGCCACAGCGCGTGGATTTGTAGCGTTTATTTTCATTTGTTTGCTGGTGATTTTGTGTATTTAACATTTAAATCGCCTCCAGTGCTTTTGCTGCTGGTGGCAATAAAAGTTGTTTAAAAGTCAAAGTAAGTCTCTGTCTCTCTCCCTTTCCGCTCTCTCCTCTCTCCGAGACGGGCAGGATCGCCAGGATCCACAGACAAGCCGGGAAGGCGGCCGAAACTGGCGCCAGCAACCATTGCCCCAAGCTCTGTGGCCCAATATTCGGAAGGTATGGCCAACTCAAATTCAGAATGAGTGTGTGTGTGTGTGCGTTGAACGTCTTTCGCACCGTACGTAGCCCAACCGTGATAATCGGAGGTGCGGGGGAGGGGTAACAAACTAAACACAAAAAACAGCAGTTCTAAAGAAATGAGTTTTCAATCTCGATGATGATTTATAAGTGCACAGCTCCCAGTGGCTTCCGAGTATCGAAATGAAGAGCTTTCCAGATGGCCGCAAAAGCACGCGATGCGTTGACCGCCATCTTTGTTCGATCGCAATAGCCAAAAGCTGCTGCTGCTGCTGCTGCGATGACCGCGTGATGGTTCACGCTCCTTGACGAGATCAGCGACTATCCACGCGTGCGACAGCGCAACACTCGATCCCCGTACAGGTAGAAGTGAACCCCGCTTACTGTACACCCCGGCAAGCTGCGGGACGGCGACCTGAGCGCCCACGTGCAGGAGGGAGCTTCACGAGTGTGCGTGTGATGCACCAACCCCGCCTGTCCCCCCCCCACCCCCCGCCCTACTGCTCGGACGGTGCTGCAGGTGTGGTGGTTGTGGTGTTGTGACCTGCGGTCTGGTGGTTGTGTTGCTGTGGCATGCGGCGTGGCACTGCGACTTGTGTCTATTCCCAATTTATTTTCAGATCACATTTCAACATTCGGATGTTTTGGCCGATACCAGTGTAATGGGTTCCAGAGACACTTGTAGAGGTAACTTCTTTATTACGATCCAACACTCCAACAGTCCTGATACTCTGTTACAGCCTAGGGACACAGCCTACTCTGGCTACGCTCTCGGGTCCTCCGGCTACAATTACCCTAGGGGAGGCTACCTGACCCGACCGAGCCAAGGTGCGGGTCTAGACTCTGGCTTCCTCGAGCCTCGCCCTTACAAGGACAAGGAGCCGGGAGTCCCAGAGCCCCACCACTGGCCCGCACAGAGTCCCGGCCCTTACAAGGACAAGCAGGACGAGGGAGTCCAGGGTCCTAAGCTGGCTGGTCTTGGGTCTTGTTCTGCGACTGGCCCCGATCAGTCAGGGAGCGGCCCTTTTATCCCTCTTGCCCATCGAGGGGTGGGGTTGTGTGGGCTCCTAGATCCCCCGCAGCCCCCCGTTAGTGGCGCCAAGGGGCTTAGCTGTCTGGGTTGTCTGGGATCCTGAGGCCTCGGCTCCGAGGGCTTAGCTGTCTAGGATCCTAGAGCCCCCAGCAACCCCCCCCCCCCCCTCTTGGGCTGGCACAGTGGCCCCTCCCCTGGGGGTCCGAGGTACCTGCAGATGGGCCCTGTCCACCACTGCCGGTAAGTGTGGCCCATCTATGGCACTACACCAGTATCATCGTGTTTTTTAAGCTAAGGAAGGAAACTGGAGAACCCAGAGCAAACTCCACACAGAGTCTGGGAAGAGCGTACAAACTCCACACAGAGTGTTACCACTATGCCACCCGAGAATAAAGAGAGGAGGCACAACTCACGAGCAGTACAATCACCTTGCTTCTTTAATTGACATCAACATTTTTCTACAACCAAAATCCGTACGCAATGTTTGAAGTCGCATTAATGAGTATTTCGCAAGAAATGATGAACGCTGGGAGGCAACATCAGCCCGGCCGTTCCGCCGCCTCCCGCGATCCTGCCATGTGGTGATCCACCTGCCACGTGCAGGAGCTCATTTCATCGCTCCATCTCCTGACGCCGCCCAGCGGCTGCGCCTACGCCGCTTGCTGCAGAGGTTCAAGGTTCGAATCCTGAATGCCAGCCTGGTTATTATTGCGGGTGTATTAACCGTAACAACAGGTGCCGTCTGATTTCGATTTAAAGCTTTCGTGACTGCAGGGATTCATCTTCTTGGTTCTCTCGCTAAAGTCACGTAGAAGGGAAATAGTAAAATAATAAAAATGAAACATAATACAATTCTCGCAACAGCCCTGTTCTTCACCCGAGGACGGCTGCTTGCGTTGTGGCTGAAATGTCATGAGAATTGTATTTGATTATGTTTTATTTTTATTATTTTATTATTTACCTTCTACGTGACTTTACCGAAAGAACCAAGAAGGTGCCGTCTGCTTTACAGTAGACGCTTACGATCCCTCTCGCGTCATTAAAAGCAAGTCGGCCATTGTGTGCTCGTGTCACGGTTAGAATTTTCTAAGTAAAAAAATTACCCACAAATTACTCGGTTGGGATTACAAATCGCAACATCGCCCCCCCTCCCTAATGGCAGACTATTACCCGCTTTGCTGGCCAGGTGCTGAGCCACCTTATGCCCACAGGTAACAGCGGGTGGCCTTTCAAAAAAATGTGTTTAGATGTGATGATGCAAGTCGCTTATCACGTGTAAAGCGCTCGTGAGACACCGTGGCGTAGACAGCTCTATAACAAATCACGATAATTGGAGGAAACTCCGTTCATCTAAAAATGGAATGCTCACCTTTTCGGAAAACTACCCGACTGCGATTGCGCGTTACTATTGGAAATTGCACGCGTGAATTCCAATTCGATTGCGGCAAAACTGTCACTTGAAGTGAGTCCGCGATGGCACATGAATCGACGCAGGATGCTCAGGGCGTTCTGAGTCTCTGCGTCTGAGGGCAGGGGAAGAGCTTCATCCTTATCATCAGCATCATCATCATCATCATTATCGTCCTCGCCAGCATCTGGCTGCTCATCCCATTCACACTTTGGTTCCTTGCCTGCACACGCAGCGGCCAAGTCCTCAGCATCGCAAAACTCCTCTGACGTCTTCACGTCAGCGTCATCGCACCCTTTGAGCTCTTCAGCGGCCGGGTCGTTGGGCACCGGGACATCGTGCGAGTCGCCCGTCGTCTCGCCACCGACCCCCGGGTCTGCTGGGCGGACGTGGACCACGAGGCTCGGTGGTGGTGGAGGGAGGAAGACCAACTTGATGTTGGTCAGGTGGAGATCAGTCTGGCGCAGAGAGCCGCCGTCGAGCAAGAGGGCGATCTTGCGGCGGCTGTGCCGCAGCTCCCCGTCCCAGCTCAGCAGGTGCTCGTCCAGGACGGCGGCGCTCATCCAGGCACTGGCAGAGCTGCGGTAGAGTGCCGGCAGCTGGCTCAGGTCGTTGGACGCGTTTCTCCGTTTCTCCGACTTCCCGAGCACCACCAGAGGCCGCTTCTCGCTGCGCGACGCGTTGACGCACTCCAGGACCGTCACTCGCTTCCTTGCCCTCTTGCGGCCGCAGGGGGCCTCAGCCGTCGTCGCGAGCCCCCGGTCGACGAACCCGCGGGGGAAGAGCGCCGCCTCGTCGGCAGTGAAGACGTCGTCGGGCGGGAACTGCCGCAGCAGCTCCGGCAGGACGCTCGCTCGCCGCCGCTCGGCCGATTCCGGCACGGCACGCTGCCCAAGCCGCGGCGTCTCGGCGCGATCCCGTCGCAAGGCGATGCTGTGCCGCGCCTTGAACCGATTGAACCACCCGTCGGACGGCTCGAACTCGCGGCCGAGCTCGGCCGCGAGCTGGCGAGCCTTCTCCTTCATGAGGGGCCCGCTGAGGCGCGCTCCCAGCGCCAACTTGTGCTGGAACCAGACGAAGAGAGCCTCGTCGATGGCCGCCTCCTTGCAGTTGCGCTTTCGCTTGCGGTCCGAGTTGTAGGACGATGACCGCCGTAAAATCTCCTCTCGGTTCTGGGGAACGGGAAGACAACGCGGAATTCTAGAACGCTGCAGCAGCTCAGTCGGCCGCAACGTCATCGCAGGCCGTGGTCAAATCCACTGCTGGATGATGGGCTCCCCAAGCCGCTGGCATCTCCCACAAATTTGCGATGCGATGTCCACCCAGAACCAGCACACGAGCCGATCTGTTGAACACGTACGAGGCTTTCGCGACCAATGTCATCCATAATACAGGGTTTGTTTGGGTTAGATTGCGTAAATATATAAATGTGCCGATCTCATCGCTCCGTCTCTCCTCCAGGACGCGTTCCTTGGCTGCCACTCGCTCGACAAGCGCCGTTACAAGGCCACGGACCGTTCTGAACAAGCTTCAATCCAGTCCCTAATTTGCAACACGTGCTCTCTAATCCGTGCCATCGACCTAACAACGTGTGTGGGGGGTGTGTGGGGGTGTGTGGGGGGGGGGTGTGTGTGGGGGGGGGGGTTGTGTGTGTGGGGGTGTGTGGGGGTGTGTGGTGGGGTGTGTGGGGAGGGGTGTGTGTGGGGGGGGTGTGGGGGGTGTGTGGGGGGGTGTGTGGTGGGGTGTGTGGTGGGGTGTGTAGGGGGGGGTATGTGGGGGGGGGTGTGTGGGGGGGGTGGGGGTGTGTGGGGGGTGTGTGGGGGGGGTGTGTGTGGGGGGTGTGTGGTAGGGTGTGTGGGGGGGGGTATGTGGGGGGGGTGTGTGGGGGGGGTGTGTGGGGGTGTGTGGTGGGGTGTGTGGGGGGGGTATGTGGGGGGGGTGTGGGTGGGTGTGTGGGGGGGTGTGGTGGGGTGGTGGGGGGGTGTGTGGGGGGGTGTGTGGGGGGGTGTGTGGGGGGGTGTGTGGTGGGGTGTGTGGGGAGGGGTGTGTGGGGTAGGGGGTGTGTGGGAGGGGTGTGTGGGGAGGGGTGTGTGTGGGGGGGTGTGTGGGGGGGTGTGGTGGGGGGTGTGTGGGGGGGTGTGTGGTGGGGTGTGTGGGGGGTGTGGTGGGGGGTGTGTTGTGGGAGGTGCCCACCACTTCACCCCACCACACGTGACCTGCAATGCCAACCAGTGCAGCACGACATCTCCCGACGCTTCCGAGTTTGTTTATAAACTATTGTTTGCTGCTGCTGCGGATCTTTGACATTTCTGCACGTATGGGGTAAACATAACATTGTTGTTGTTTGTCACGCAAGGTACCGGCAAATGCCCCAAAAGCACCTCCAGTTGATGAACGCCGCTTCTGCTGCTACTTTCATCACCAACAACATCACCAACAACATCACGAACAACATCAACAACATCCCCACCACCATCAACAACATCACCAACAACAACATCAACAACATCACCAACAACAACATCAACAACAACATCACCATCAACAACATCACCAACATCAACAACATCACCATCAACAACATCAACACAATCACCATCAACATCACCAACAACAACAACATCAACAACATCACCAACATCAACAACATCACCATCAACAACATCAACACCACCATCAACATCACCAACAACAACAACATCAACATCACCAACAACAACATCACCATCAACAACATCAACACCACCATCAACATCACCAACAACAACATCAACAACATCACCAACACCAACATCAACAACATCATCAACGTCACCTTGAGGGTCCTGTTGACCACGCTGCGCGACACCCCGAAGTCGGCGGCGACGCGCGACTGGTTGGGGTTCCCCTCCAGCGCCCTCAGCATCTCCATCTTGGTGGCGAACGAGACGGTGACGCGGCGCGGGGCCGACACGGCACCACCACCACCACCATCGCCACCACCACCACCATCGCCACCACCACCGCCACCACCATCACCGCCACCACCGCCATGGCCGTCGTCGTCACCGGTCATCATCGATCCACTGCTGGATGAGGAGCTCTCACAGCACCACCACCACCACCAAGTCCGTCGCGGTGCAGAAATCCACACCTGGCCACGATTCGGAAGAAACACCAACTAGCACTCACCCACCACCACCACCTACTCACCACCACTACCTACCCACCACCTACTCACCACCACCACCTACTCACCCACCACCTACTCACCCACCACTACCTACCCATCACCACCACCACCTACCCACCACCACCACCATCTACCCACCACCACCATCTACCCACCACCTACTCAACACCACCACCTGCCCACCACCACCACCCACCCACCACCACCTACCCACCACCACCACCTACCCACCACCACCACCACCTACCCACTACCTCACCACCACCTACTCACCACCTCTCCACCACCACCTACCCACCACCACCACCTACCCACCACCTGCTCACCACCACCACCCACCACCACCACCTACCCACCACCACCTACCCACCACCTGCTCACCACCACCACCCACCACCACCCACCACCACCCACAACGCAACGTGAACGGCGGCTCTGGGCCCGTGAGAAAGCGGGGAGCGGTGGCGCTTTGGTTAGCGCACTGCACTAAGAGCCGCGGCCAACATCGGCGGCGAGTGGCACCTGAAGCGCTCTTCACCCTCCTCACCTTCAGCTAACGCGCCCTGACCCACTCGCGGTGGTGGTGAAGTATGGTCAAAGACCCCCCACGCATCGATTGGGCCTTCGTGCATTGGAGGAGGGGGGGGGTGGTGGGGAGCTTTGTCATTAAAATCAACATCCGGCCTCCACTGTCGATTCCAGCTGAGGAATCGTCCCGAGAATCGATTCCCTACCGCACGCATCGCCAACACGGGAATGTAATCGTGATGCGGTGAATCGGGAAACTGCGGTTCGATATATCGATTATTCGCTACGTGTCGCAGCTTTCGTTTCCGCAGTGACGTCACGTTCCGGCTCCTCCCCCCCTCCTCCCCACCACCTCCTCCCCCTCCTCCCCCCCACCTCCTCCCCCCCACCTCCTCCCCCCCACCTCCTCCCCCCCACCTCCTCCCCCTCCTCCCCACCACCTCCTCCCCCTCCTCCCCCCCACCTCCTCCCCCCCACCTCCTCCCCCCCACCTCCTCCCCCCCACCTCCTCCCCCTCCTCCCCCACCTCCTCCCCCCTCCTCCCCCCCACCTCCTCCCCCCACCTCCTCCCCCCCCACCTCCTCCCCCCCCACCTCCTCCCCCCCACCTCCTCCCCCCCACCTCCTCCCCTCCACCTCCTCCCCCTCCTCCCCCCCACCTCCTCCCCCCCACCTCCCCCCCACCTCCTCCCCTCCACCTCCTCCCCCCCACCTCCTCCCCCCACCTCCTCCCCCACCTCCTCCCCACTCCCCCACCTCCTCCCCCCCTCCTTCTTCCCCCTCCCCCCCCACCTCCTCCCCACCGCCTCCCCCCCTCATCGTGGCTCAAGTTTGCTCCAGCGGTAAGACCACATGCCATGGGACATTGTTGCCAGTATCAAAGTATGAATCAAAGTAAGAGTAGGTTTTACCCTCTCTGGAAATAAAACAGGGGGATGTTAAGATACTCTTTGTTTTTTGGTAAAGTCACGGAGGTAAAAAAAATCTAATCAAATAAATGAAAACTACATTAAATTCATTTATTTTATTAGATTTTTTACCTACGTGATTTTACCGAAAAAGCCAAAGAGTATGAATCTTTCTAGTCACGGAAGCTTCAAATCTAGAATGGCTGTTAAGATATTCAAACACCAAATAGAAACCTTTTTGCAAGGAATTAAATCTGCATCAACCACGCACAGTCATTGTGGTGAACATGCAATCAAACACGCTCAGATACTGAAATTGACTGACCTACATCAGACACAGTCCCTATGATCACCGTTACATTGTTTTTATAGCTTTATTTTGGTGATTTTATAAACGTTTTGGTTTAGCCGTTTGTTTGTTGTAGTACAGAGTTAGCCTGATAACTTTAATCTAAATTGTCTTTTTGATTTAAAGCTTTCGTGACTGCAGGGATTCATATTCTTGGTTCTTTCGGTAAAGTCACATCGAAGGGAAACAATAAAATAATAAAATATAAAACAATAAAATTCTCACGACGTTTCGACTGCAACACAAGCAATCATCAAGATTTTCTTGCTGTGGATTTCACACCTGATGATGATTGTTTTATTTATTGTTTCCCTTCTACGTGACTTTACCGAAAGACCCAAGAATGTATCTTATGGTTGTTATTGTTCGACTTGCATTCCACTGGGATTTTTGCACACAGCATTGATTTATGGTGCTTTTTCTGGAAGATTTTGCTGTTTTTTCCTGAATTGTTCTGTGGCGTGTAGTCACTTTAAGATGCTCCTTGTTCATGTTTTTGTTGCACCCGAGTCAAGAGCCGCATGGCTCACAGGGTTATACCTAATACATGAAACTGAAAACTGAAAAAGGACTTAGTCTCTCCAGTGCCGAGCCAGTATCAAAGTGTCGTGACATATAATGGGTCACTACGGCGCCTAGCGCCATCTACCGACAGAGAGAGAGAGAGATGAATTGCGTGTGGAGTAGCCCTCTCTGCCAGCAGAGCCCACGATGTCATGGAAGAGGTCCCTTAGGGGGCATGGTTCTGGTGGCTGGCAGAGAGGCGGCATGAGTGGACGTAGCAGCCCGGTTGGCTGGCAAGGGCACGTGATAGGACAGGGGAAGGATGTGGGCCAAAGGTGACAGAAGGGACACGTGGTGTATGGCCCAGAATCTTCTGGTGAATCTTGATTTGAAGTTTTCGTGGTTGCAGGGATCCATACGCTTTGGTTGTTTCGGTAAAGTCACTTAGGCATAAAATAAAGCAAAATAAATTAAATCACGACGTTTTGGGCGTAACACAATGATGACGGACGCTTGTGTTGCGCCCGAAACGTCGTGATTTAATTTGTTTTATTTTATACCTACGTGACTTTACCGAAAGAACCAAATAGTAATATTCTGAGTTCCAGAAGGGGGCGTGGCCGAGGGCGGAGCCAGGCCACGCGCGGGGGGGGGGCAGGGGGGGCATAAAAGGGAGGTCCCGGGCTCCCATCGGGGCTGTCTGATGGAACGGAACCCGCCGTACTGCCTCTTCTCCTCGGTGGCCTCCGCTCTTCGTGGTGGTTACCGGTTATGTGGTTACCCCGTGGTGGTGGTTACCGGTTATGTAGTTACCCCGTAGTGGTTACCGGTTATGTAGTTACCCTGTTGTGGTTACCGGTTATGTAGTTACCCTGTTGTGGTTACCGGTTATGTAGTTACCCCGTTGTGGTGCTTACCGGTTATGTAGTTACCCCGTTGTGGTGCTTACCGGTTATGTAGTTACCCCGTGGTGGTTACCGGTTATGTAGTTACCCCGTGGTGGTTACCGGTGGAATGAACGTGTTGCTTTTGAATGTGTGTCTCCAAAGTGATCTCACTACTAAAATATGAACAAATAAGAACAGGTTTTACCCAATCTGGCAATACAACAGGAGGTGTCAAGATGTTCAAACGCCAGATAGAAACCTTCTGCAATGAATCACGTCTGCAATAACCACACGAAGCGCGTGTTTGTTTTGCATGTTCATCACAAGTAACGCGTGTGGTTATTGCAGACTTCATTCCCGGTGAAAGGTTTCTGTTTGGCGTTTGAACATCTGAACACAACTCCTGTTTTATTGCCAGGAATGGGTAAAGCCTCTTCTTATTTTTCATCCTTGTGACATTGCTGAGCTTGAGGTCTGGCGAAGTTTCCACATTCGTCTGGTGGGCGAAAATGTTGCCGCCTTCCCACATCTGTCCCTTCACATAATACGCGGTGGCTTTATTTTTGACACATCCCATCAGTCACATGGCCTCCTGGGAGCGGATATGTTGTGAGCGATAAGTTTGAGATGTGATGGGTAGAATGATGGTGGTGTGTTTGGGAGAGGTTGGCGCACCGCGCTAAGAACCCTGGCGACCCGGGTTCTACTCCCGCTCACGGCAAACACCAGTAGACAATCATCTGAACCGGCCCTGGGCCTCCCCTCTGTCGACTCAGCCTCAAACGAGTACCTGGTGTGGTGTTTAAATATCGCCACAGGGGAGACAAAGGCGACCGGGCGTGGTTCTGGCCACCTATCCCTCATCATGAGCCACCCATTGTCACTTTCGTCATCGTTTATTTCACGCACCGTCACCATCATCCCATTCACGTACCACCTGCCAGCCTTCTCATCAACTCACCTCATCACACCCCCGCTGTATGAACAGCGCATTCACTTGTTCAGCTGGGGAGAGGGCGGAGTGGGGGGGGGGGCAGCTGGGGAGAGGGTGCGAGTCCCACGCGCAGAAGTCACAGGAGGAGTTGTATCACAACGAGACGCCGATGCCATCGGTTGCTGGATGCGAACGAATTCGCTCTGAGCGCGGCGGCTTGTGACGCGCACGTCATTGCGCTCGACAAGATGATCAGACTTTAGCGACGCTCTCAACCTCTGTTATGGATATTGGCCGCAAAAGCCTACGCGTTGAACTCTAAACCTATCACAGTCGTGAGTTTATCGTGAGTAAATCCAAATGTTAGAAGTGTGAACGCGTGCGTGTGCCCTGACATTGTTGTGCGGGCGCGCTCCGCTATCCACGCCGGAGAAGCGCGGGGCCGGCAGCAGCCCGTGGCGAAGAGGGACCCGGTGACCCGGTGACTCGGTGCGCGGCCGCGGAGATCCGTGGGGAAGAAGAATGGAGGTGACGAGGACGACATCGAGACTGTCGGGAGGGCGGAGAGGGAGAGTCGGCCGCGATGGCGGCTCCCCGAGTCGTCCCGTGCCGAGGGGGGGGTCCCTGCCAGCAGCCCCCCCCCCCCCCCAGGTCCGGTGAGAGGAAGACGACGAACCCTCGCACCCACGTCCAACGACAAGGG